CCTACCCATATAGTTTAAGTTTAAAAAATTTGGCTCTCAAAAGAAATTTCAATCATTATACTGTTGATATTTGGCTCTGTTGACTAATGAGTTTGCTGACCACTGGGTTAGGCAAATACAGTAAGAGGAATTGTAGTGGTGGTGTGTTTCTCCCTGATGGGAGAGAAAGAACGTGAGGAATTTCTTAACTACTTAAGTCACCCAATATGGGAGGAAACACATCGTGAGATTGTCTCAGAAGTCCACAAGAACAGAGACCTTTTGCTTTGTTCACTGCTCTACTCCAACTCCTGTAACAATGCCTGCCACATAATACGCGCTAGCTAGCAGAAACATGGCCGGGCTAGGTTCAAATCTCAAAGATTCAAACCTTTGCTCAAGGAGCGAATGTTCAGGATGTTTCCGAGTTGAGATAGGAGAGCCAATGGATCGCAACGCAGTAGAAAGCTAAAAAAATCACTAGGAAGATCGTTAGACTAAATATTATTACAGCTTTAATAAGAAAAAACATTATTACAACTTGCCCTCTTCTTCTAATTAATTTTAAAATATGGTTTTATTGATTTTTAGAGAGAGAGAAACATCAGTGAGAGAAAAACATCATTGATTAACTGCCTCCTGCATGCATCCCTACTAGGGACTGAGCCCTGACCTGGAATTGAACTGGTGCTGAGGTGCACTATCTGGGCTGCTTCTTTATTTTTTAATCCTCACCGGAGGACATGCTTAGAGAGTGAAACAGAGAGAGGGAGAGGAAGATGGAGAGAGGTTAAGTTCCTTGGTAGCAGGACCCTGCAAGATACCCCTCACAGGTTGTCTACATGGATTATTAATAAACAAACTAGCATCAACTCTTGAGTCAAGGTGCCTTTTAGGCTCAAAGAATTTAAGTAACCTGTCCAAGATCACACCAGGGAAAACCAGGACTTGAATGAAGATCCAAGATCTTTCCTAACCATCTTGCTTCTCTACTGTGTCACAGAATATAATTTTGACTATAGGTATTTCATGACAATAGCACCCTTTTTCCAAACATTATCTTCTGGCCAATGATCTACTTTTGGAAAAGGCTACACTGCTTCCCTCAATCTGAGAATGTTCTTGTAGGGTGTAACTTGTTTCCCAGGAGCCTTTCCAGCCCTATTATATCAAGGGCATGGGAGAGCTGTTTTTCAAGGAGTAGGGACACCCACTATGACCCACCTTACAAAGGTATCAACTGTTCCCTTTCAAATCAAATCCCAAAGATCAACATGCTTCTTAAAAAGAGGTGAACATGCCTTGGCTGTTTTTGCTCAGTGGATAGAGCATCGGCCTGAGACTATTGAGCCATAGGAATGGATCTCCGATGTAACCCAAGGACCTACTGTATTTGTGAAATAATTCAAGAAATAAAGTTCAGCCCTAACCGGTTTGGCTCAGTGGCTTCAGCCTGCAGACTCAAGGGCCCCAGGTTCGATTCCAGTCAAGGGCATGTACCTTGGTTGCAGGCACATCCCCAGAAGGGGGTGTGCAGGAGGCAGCTGATCAATGTGTTCTGACTCTCTATCCTTCTCCCTTCCTCTCTGTACAAAATCAATAAAAATATATTAAAAAAGAGAAAGAAATAAAGTTCACTTTAGTCATCATTGTTCTCTGTAATATTATCAAGGGGAATATGAAGCTTCAATTACTAGTACATTTTGTTCTATTTGTCTAACTTTTTTCATTTGAATTTTAATACTTTTTCTGGTAACCTAATTGCAACAGTCTCAAGAGAGTTGTTTTTAACAAGACCAGATAGGCACCACTAAGTTTTATAAGATAACACAATTCATAGAAATATTCACATACAAAAAAATATTCACTTATGCTATTGTAAGTCTAATTTAAATATACAGAATGAGAAATACCATTAAGTAGAATTTGGCAAAGGTGTATTTCTTGAGTCCCACTTACACTCTCCATAAAGTATCAAAATGAGACTTTGACAAGGCTCACATGGCTGGGCTAGTGTCATGAGGAGGCTCAGGTATGGAGACCTCTCTTTGGGTCTGAGAGACTAAGAGAGCTAAGTAGTGGCCAAGTATATGTGTTATCTTAAAATACACATCATTAACCAGACAGGCTTTCTCCTCCTCTTGATCTCTTTAAGGTCCTTACCTATGTATCCACTGACCAAGTCTAAGTGATCCCCTCTATAGTACCTGATTTTCCTCTCTACAATCCCCTGGGCACACACTCCAAAGAATGCACCGAATACAGGTTTCTAAAACATGTATCTTAGAGCCAGAGGCCAGCAAGCAGGTGTCCTAAATGGAGAGACTTTAAACACTAGCTCAGGTAAGAACCCAATTCCCAACTTCCTTTATGGGTCTTAGAATTCTGACTGCGGTCTTTTTTTTTTTTTTTAAATGTATTTTTATTGATTTCAGAGAGGAAGGGAGAGGGAAATAGAGATAGAAACATCAATGATGAGAGAAAATCATTGATCGGCTGCCTCCAGCACTCCCCCTACTGCTGGGGACTGCCCGCAACCCAGGCATGTGCCCTTCCTTGGCTGGAGTCAAACTCGGGACCCTTCAGTCCACAGACCAACGCTCTATTCACTGAGCCAAACCAGCTAGGGCTCTGACTGCAGTCTTATCCCCAAGGTTCTCACCCAAATGTGCAAAGTTACACCAACTCTCTGAATCCTAGCTCCCTACTACTCCTAGGATGAAATGACAGATGTGAAAATAGCTCAGAAGGCAGAAACCACTATGCAAACTAGAAGGTATTTTTAAAAAATATATTTTTATTTATTTCAGAGAGGAAGGGAGAGGGAGAGAATCACTGATTGGCTGCTTCCTGCATGCCCCACACTGGGGACCGAGTCCACAACCCAGGCATGTGCCCAGACTAGGAACCGTGACCTCCTAGTTCATAGGTTGACACTCAACCACTGAGCCATGCTGGGTGCAAACTAGAAGGTATTAAGAGCCCAGTATACAAGTTATTTTAGCGTGTTGAGGAGTACACTAGGCCAGACAAGTGTACCTATGCAAGGGCAGAACTGTGTGAGATGAGAAAACCAGAAGGTCTACTCAAAGATGACTCTTATCTGTGGAGGTGGCTTCTTCTGCCACAAGCCTCACTTTTTCCTCATAGCCAAGATGAGAGGGAAAAGTAACCATGGACTTTGAAACAAACCTTCAGGTGTAGTTTACTGAGATATGACTCCTGATCTAGAAAATACTGAGAATAACCAGTGAAAAATATATACAAAACAAATTATAGCTAACTTTTATCTGTGGGTACAATGTTTTATGGGTTAAGTTTTGCTTTTTTTTGAAGCAACAGGCTCCATTACTTCATCCTTCTGCCCTGCACCTAGGCCAGTGGTCGGCAAACTGAGGCTTGTGAGTCGCAGTTTGCTGACCACTGACCTAGGCTATCTCCCTGCTTTGATCCTGAGGTAAATACATAGAGGACAATCACTAATTTAATCTGTTTCTCTAACACATATGCAATTTGATATTAAAGAATATTCAGCCCCACCAGTGTGGCTCAGTGGTTGAGCATCGACCTATGAACCAGGAGGTCATGGTCCGATTCCTGGTCAGGGCACATGCCCAGGTTGTGCGCTCAGTCCCCAGTGTGGGGCATGGAGGAGGCAGCTGATCTCTCATCACTGATGTTTCTATCTCTCTCCCACTCTCCTTCCTCTCCGAAGTCAATAAAAATATATTTTAAAATGTTTAAGTTCTATTTCATGCTATTATTATTTACAAAATCTCTCATAAGTAAGATCTGAGACATTTACTAGTGGCCCAGTGCACGAAATTTGTGTTTGGGGGTTGGGGGGTGTATGTGTGTCTTCCTCAGCCCAGCCTGCACCCTCTCCAATCTGGGACATCCCTTTCACAATCAAGGACTGCTGACTCCCAACCGCTTGCCTGCCAGCCTGATCACCCCCTAACCACTTTCCTGCCAGCCGGATTGATGCCTAACTGCTCCCCTGCTGGCTGGTTGCCCCTAACTGCCCTCCCCTGCTGGCCTAGTCACTCCCAACTGCCCTTTCCTGCAGGCCTGGACCCCCCCAACTGCCCTCCCCTGCAGGCCTGGTCGCCCTTAACTGCCCTCCCCTGCAGGCCTGGTCCCTCCCAATTGCCCTCTCCTGATGGTCTGATCGCCAACAACTGCCCTCCCCCACTGGCCATCTTGTGTGTTGGAGTGAGGGTCAATTTGCATACTACCTCTTTATTATATGGGATTGACTGGGTAGCTCAGTTGGTTAAAGCAGCGGTTGCCAACCTTTTGGATCTCATGGACCACCAGTGGTCCACGGACCACCAGTTGGCGACTGCTGCTCCAAAGGTTTCCTTAAACTAGCGGTTGCCAACCTTTAAGACCTCACAGACCACCAGTGGTAATGAATGCCTACCAATATGTGACCACTGGGTTAGAGCACCATCCCGCTATGCCAAGGTTCCAAGTTCAATCCCCGGCCAAGGCACATATAAGAATCAACTAATGAATGCCTAAATATATGGAACAACAAATCTCTCTCTCTCTCCTTTCTCCTCTCTAAAACCATTAACTAAATGAAAACATTAAAAAAAAATTCCTCTGCCTTACCAAAGAGAAATTCTAAGACATTTATTCATATTTCTCTTCAACTCAACTAACCACATTAGAAATATGAAAATGTATAAGTGGCTATGTGTCTGTCTACCAATGTCAACTCTAGGACATGGATCTTTCTTAACTATCATCTTTCCTTATTGGAAATAAAACTGACTACTGTGAAACGAAATCTATGAGTCTTTGGGAACAGAAAATAGAGCAAAGAGGTTGAGATCTTGGAAGAAACAAGGCATAGAAAGGACAAAAGAATCATGTGGACTACTCACAGTGGATCTTCTAAGATCATCCAGTTCTCTTATTCTCGTAAATATAACTTTGCAGAAACAAAATTAAAATGAAAGATAAAAACCGAATGTCAAAAGAATTCCAAAAACAACCTTAATAGATTTTACCTCTAATGCCAAGGCAGTCTTGTCGTAAGCACAGGGAACTCTTTTCTGGACTGCTTTTGCAAAGACAGGTCCATTCTGTGTGGACGGCAATGGGTTGATTGCTGCCCCAGGAGTACTGGAAACTGCAGGTAGAGGAGTTGTGGTCTGAGGTTGAGCATATGCATGAGCAGGTTCTGGGATCCCATAACTGTTGGAATTCCTATTTCCATGCTTTCCATGTGGTGAGGATCTCACGAGCTTTTCAACATAAGGGACGGGAATCATCCCAATCCGGCCGTCCTTGTTCCGGGCACTCCACCACTGTTCTTCAGGCTTCTCTATTATCACCAGGATCTCACCTTTTTTAAAGGGCAGGTCTTCAGCATCATTCCCAAGAAAATCATAGAGAGTCCGTACATATTCCAGATTTTCTTCTGCTGTAGGCAGGTTGGGTGCTGATACAGATCCCATTTGTGGGCTTGGATACCTTGAGAAAGAAAATTACTTTAAGAGAAAAATCTTACTCTATACCAGTGTTTGCCAAACTTCTAAATAAACCATTCTCTATAATAAATTATCTCCCTCTTTAAATTAATTCCAACTCTGTAGTTAAGATGATTCTGTTGCACTGATTTACTATCATTTGTATTGCAACCTAAGTCAATATCCTAAATATGCCTTTTTAAATTACATGCCAAATGCATACACTCACATACACACCCCATATTTCTGTTTTACAGGAACCTTTTGTTTACACACAGTACCTGGCCTGAACTTACTAAAAACCTAGAATAAGTTCAGTAGCTGTCTTCCTCAGGACCTTGTCACAACCACCACATACTCTCCCTCATGGTCTTAATCTTTGACATGCATCCTGCACACTTCTATGGACACCCACAGAGAAGATGACAAAGACCTCTGTCTCTGTGTCCCTCAAAATATAAAATGCACTACATTCCAAACTTACAAAGCCCTCACAGTACACCTTGTATAGGAATCATCACCTGAACATCCAAATGAAAGCATGTGAAAGTTTTCACTGCAAAACTCACAGGCAAGCCTTAGCTGGTTTGGCTGAGTGGATAGAGCGTCGGCCTGCGGATTGAAGGGTCCCCGGTTCAATTCCAGTCCAAGGGCACATGCCCAGATTGTGGGCTCGCTCCCCAGTAGGAAGAATGCAGGAGGCAGTTGATCAATGATTCTCTCTCATCACTGATGTTTCTCTCTCTCTCTCCCTCCCTCTCTGAAATCAATAAAAATATATTTAAAAAAACAAACATAAAACTCATGGGCAAGAGCTATCAGCTAAGCATCAGTCAGTCCCTTTGTTGTGCTCACAGATTCAATGTGTATTAGCCTAGTATAGTGGTCGGCAAACTGCGGCTCGCGAGCCACATGCGGCTCTTTGGCCCCTTGAATGTGGCTCTTCCACAAAATACTGACTTCTGCGCATGGGCCACGAAGTTTCAATTGCACTGTACGTGCGCGCCCGCATGTGGTATTTCGTGGGAGAGCCACACTCAAGGGGCTAAAGAGCCGGAGTTTGCTGACCACTGGCCTAGTACATTGTTTAATAATGTACTCCCAGAGACAATTACACAAGCACAGTTCCCTGCTCTCCAACATTCCATTTGTAATGCTCCTTCTGAGAAAGAAGTACAGAGGTCTCCCCCATAGGTTCAAGAACTTGAGTGTTCTGAAAAGTTGTGAACACACCAAGTTTTATTTTTTTAATTTATTTTTATTCTTAAATCATTTATTTCAGTCACAGTAAGAGGCAAAGAAAAATTAAACAGGCAGCATACTTGATTACTCATTATATCCTAGAAATGACTGAAGTTATTACAAACATTCTTTTGTTTCACACCAAGTTTTAGAAGAAACCTTTACCATTACCCTGTCCCCATAACGTTTTTGAATCTACACCAGAGTAACAAATCCTGGACTTCATACAAAGTCTGCCCATCTTTAGGAAATGACTTTGCCTGCAGAACCATTCACCAGAGCCAGGTTCTAGAATAGCCCTGAGGGGGATTGCTAAGATACTTCCACTAAGGTTTCCCATTAGCCCATGGCCATTCTCTTTCTTTATTCCCCCATTAGTGATCTAAGAAGTTACTTCATAACAACATGATCTATGTCGAAACATTCTTTTGATTTGATTTATAAAAACTATCACCATATTACAACATTCAGCAAAAGTAGAAAAACAAAAGATTTTAAAAATCCCATAGTTCCTGCTCTAATGTAGCTATAATTCTTCCTTTCTTCTCCCCTGCCACTTCATGACTTTAAAAAAAATCCTGTGAATGTCTGTGGCAGTTTTTCTGCCTAATACCACACCACAGGTGTCTTCCCAAATCACTGGTCTTTTTCAGGGCAGGATAACATTTCATTCTGGGAGCCTGCTGCAATGAAGCATCCCTGTTTTATTGGATACTTAGGTTTTCTTTCTCCCTATTTAATCATCCACATCACAAATTCTTTTGACCTTATTTTCCCTATGCTGGATTTTTTTGTAAAGCCTTGATTCCCAGATTAAAGAACAGGAACACTTTCATGGCCCTTGGTACATACTTGCTACATGAAGATTTTCCAAAAGCAGTCTTCATGATTTGGTAAAGCTTGTATCTTTTTAATGTGAATTACTAGCTTCACAGTCATCAGAATACCATGGTGATTAGGAGCCTGATTTAAAACATCAAAGGCCTTTTTACTAAGGGACAAATTGCTTACTATCAACAGTACATCTAAAAAGAGACAGCAGGACTCTGGCTGGTGTTGCTCAAAGTTGTTAAGAGCATTGGCCTATGCTCCGAAGGGTTATGGGTTTGATTCCTGGTCAGGATGCTTACTGAGGCAACGGATTGATGTTTCTCTCTCACATCAATGTCTGTCTCTCTTCCTCTCCCAAATCAGTAAAAAATATATATATAATTTTAAAAGAATCAGTTTGAAAAAGCACATCCTCTTTGAAGTCTTCCCTAACACCTTAGTTGATCATACTTGCTTTTAAGCTCCCATGGTATTATATTTTAATTTGCTCAAAGGCTAGAATCATGGTTTATTTGCATTATATGCTTTCAATCTAGTATTGGGCTTTGGTATAGAGTAGGCCTATATATGTTGAAATTCCTAATAAAATTAAAATGCCAAAGACACGGGGAAGCATTTCCCATTCCAGTTTCTAACCGTTTTTTCCTTCTGAAAACACAAAGGCTTTGCCATTCCAACTCCCTAAACCTGGTTTAATTCAGTTAGCAAAGGAAATCCTGGATTTGCCTTCCAAGACTCTTCACCTCAGCACTGATCCCCTCCTACTCTTAGCCATCATTCCAGACTAGCTGCTACATGCCTGGGCCCCAAATTACTTATGAGGATCTTAGCTCAGACTCTAGGACAGTGATGGCGAACCTTTTGAGCTCGGCGTGTCAGCATTCTGAAAAACCCTAACTTAACTCTGCCGTGTCACATATAGAAATTTTTTGATATTTGCAACCATAGTAAAACAAAAACTTATATTTTTGATATTTATTTTATATATTTAAATGCCATTTAACAAAGAAAAATCAACCAAAAAAATGAGTTCGCGTGTCACCTCTGACACGCGTGTCATAGGTTCGCCATCTCTGCTCTAGGATAATCTGAACTACCACCACTAATAAGCACTGCCTCGTTTTACTTATCAGGAAGAACTAAAATATTTTCGCCTCAAGAAACCTTAGAAATAATCTAGTCCAACTATTAAGATCAAAGGAAAATTCTTTCTTAGATAAAAAAATTCTCTAAATTTGAGTCTCAAACAAAAGATATGTCACAAATCAAATGGCTACCAGTATTTTACATGCTATGGGAACTAACTGGGCAAGCTTCCATTCCATTCCGTGCATGACATTGTTCTTATATCTCATCTTAATTAAATTTAGATGATTTAAACTCCCGGTAAGAAGAAACTCAAAGGTTTATTCACAGTGTTGAATTCTATGCTAATCAAAATTACTGGTAATCCTTCTTCCCTATTAATTATAAAAGTCCAGATTTGAGTTCCCTTAAATATTTAGAACAGGGGATGTGGAAGGAGGTCTGACCCTGCTGCCTGTGGTATCCTCTGGTCCATGCAGTCCTTGCTTTCTGCTTCACAGGTGTGAGGGTCCTCCTCTGGGCACTCAGATTAGGCTGAGCATCCTTTTCCAGTTCTCCCACAGCTACTTTACCATATTAGGTAGCATGGAAATAGCCTTTATTATCAGTAAGCTCCATTTGTTGCTTCTTGTGTATGCTCTGATGGGGGATTGAACCCACAACCCTGGCCTATTGGGATGATGCTCTAACTAACTGAGCTACCCAGCCAGGATAGGACTATTGATTTACCGTTAGTTCCGTTAGTTCCATATTACCAGGTACATACAATCTGCAAAGTCTGTTGAGTAAAAAATAAGATTTTCTCTAAGGGTCAACTTGCCTCAATTTTAAAATGTTTACTTCTCATGATTTTTCTCCTACCCTTCATACATAAACTAAAACTGGAAAAGCAAGTTATACAAAAAACACTTTCAAGTTTCTAAACCATGGGAAAATATGATTCATCATATTTAAAAAATCCACTCAGACACTTTCTGAAACATTCTGTTGTTAAACTTATTATATATATCACACTAGTGCTTACCTGACTACTAACTATAGCAATACACAGAATGTTAAAATTGTTTGTATTCAAATAAAATGGAAGTGATTTGTAATATAAAAATGACATCCACATGCATAAAGAGAATCCTTTGGGGTCATTCAAAATTAACGAAGCTGGCGGGAACACGGCCACATCTTTCTGACTTTCTTCCCTCTCAGCATGCATCACCTAAACTCTGAGTCCTTGAAAGACTTACAACCAGGGGAGCAATGGGCAGTGGCAGCTCATCTTGGGCTAACCCCCTGAACCTGTCTACAAGGCCCCTTTTCTCTGACTTTCCAGTGAGCCACAGCATCTCTGCCCAGATTCTCTCTTATTGCTTGTTCTATCCTAAGGCCTTCCTTGTTTCACTGTCCCCAGCTTTCATAAATGTATTCCCAAAAACTGAATCAACAAAAAACAACAGACATGACACCTTTTGGGGGTTAAGTTTACCACAAATACAAAAAGCTTATTAATTACAGTAATAAGATAAACACAAATATACCAAACCATAATTTCTTCCTTTCTCTTCCTATCATTTCCCCCTCCCCCGCAATCAGGATCAATCTTATCTCCAAAACAGGCATTTTCACCAAGCTGTCTATTGAAGTCTACATATGTCATCAGTCACCATCATTTTGCACCTTGTACTGTCCCCAGGTTCAAACTCCTCCCATGGCACCCACTGAACTTATTATTTATTTATTTATTGTTGACAGTATTACAGATGTCTTCCATTTTCTCCCTTTTTGCCCCGCCTCGTTCCACCCCAGGCCTTCCCCACGCTATTTTCTGTGTCCAAGGGCTATGCATATGTT